CCTTCCGGTCAGACAGTGAGCTGCTGTGATCCCACACGTGAGCACACTCTCAGTGGCGCACCTGTAGAAGGTGGTAAGGGCAGTCGAAGGTAGACCCCATTTTTCAAACGGCCTGAGGAAGTAAACCGAGGCACCGTTGCTCTTTCTTTGTAGTTCCAGTTGCATGCTGGGACCACGTTAAATCATTAGTGGTTTCTCAGACTTTAAATGTCATTAACCTCTCTAGGCAACAATAATCTGAAATCTAACTTCTCCAATTCCAGCGTTCACACTTAAACAGCAAAAGGGAATTTCACTTCACTCATAGTAAGGACTCAAGTGATATGCCACTAGGTCTAAAACTCCACTGTCATTCCTATTTTGACGAAGCAGTGCAATGGAGGAAAGCTAAATTTGCTTAACCTTTTAGATACCGACTTTTAAAAACATATGGTTTTAAATGTTAACTGCAGCAAAGGGTAAATTAATTTTTTAAGGGCATCCACGAACAAAACATAATGCCATAAATTCAAGGACATACATCACATGGTGTGAGTCCCAGATACTAGCACAGGAAGGCCTCTGTCTCGTTTACTATGCAACAACAGGCCCTATGTGGGAAGGCAAAACGGGCAAATAGAATGATATGATATTTTTGTCAAAAAACTACAACAAACTAGAAAGACATTTAGAACAAAGCATACAATTATGGTCACAAGGATAAAAAAAAAATACATTATTGCTCTGGAATCAGTCCAGAGAAAAGCAATAAGATACATTCCTCCACTTAAAGAAATGCCCTACTTTGACAGGTCGAAGGAACTGAGACTTTCTATTCTTGCACGCAGGAGGCTATGAGAACAGATCCGACAAAGTCAACACAAGGAGGGAAACATGACCCGCAAGAATTAAGTGGAGGTGAGAACCTCCATGCAGGGAGGAGGGTGTGAAGCGAGTTCTGCTGCTGGGGCTGATAACTGGCCTTTTTTAAAGACGCAGCTAGACGAAATCCTCACATTAACTGGCAACTAGCAACCACAGGGATCTGATGGGCCAAACGGCCTCTCGGTTTTTAACCGGTTATATTCTCATATGTGTTGGAGTCAAAGAAATAGCTCTGCGTCCAGAACTGGCAGCAAGGGTCTGAAGGAGGAAAGTTACCTTTTAGGTTTCTCTCCACATTGCTCTTTCCCTGTAGGAGCTTGGACCACTTGATGGATCTCCTGGTGAGGATCTGGAGGTAGGTGGACATAAACTCCTCATAAGAGTCATAATCAAAGTCTTCTGATCTCTCAAAGCCGTAGGGATCAATCCTATTGAAACAAAGAGACACATTGTAAACTGGGGACGAAATGACAGAGCAGTGATTCATTAGGGAGAAACGCACATTGCTGAATCGCCCTAGTCAGAAGTCTCTTATCCTGTGAGGGTCGGTTCAGGGGAGAGAGATGAAGGGAGGTGAGACGATTGAGTCTCCAAAACGCTCATATTCTCCTTGCTCAACTATTTATTATGCCGATGATTTAAGAAAACTTAAGCTGCCTTAACAAAACAACCCTACTGACCACCAATTGCATTTTACCCTCATTGCAAATTGTACTGCTTGAGGAAAAAAAAAGCAGAATACAGCCTATTGCACTTAAGGGTGAATTCAGTTTTGAAATTAACCCATGTTTCTTCTGCAGAAACTAATCTCCTTTTTCTTCGGGATCAAAGATGCTCAATAAATTAATCTAACCTTAGGGCTCAACTGCAGGTACAGTATGAAGAAAAACATTCTGCTAAAAGTTGAGTTAATTTAAACCATGCTTGGGTCTGGAGGGTTTTAGTAACAGATGACAGGGGCGAGAAAGGAATGTTCAACAGGTTTTCTCCCCTGGTCCAACCGACGGGATGCCTGGCGTTTCGTGCAAGGTGTGATCCAGCTCTGAAGGCCAGGGCATGGCCTCCTCTGTCAGGAGGAAAGAACTTTGCCTTTTCAGTCTTGAAGACTGCAAACTGGCCCGATTCAAGCATTTACTGGCAGGTAACCCTGCGGACGACCTCAGAACCAATAGAAACACAAACCAGAAGACACCAACGCAAACTAAGGGTAAGCACACTGAAAACACAGGAGAGGAGGAACGTCTTTATACCAGGTTTTGTTGGGAGACAGGAACGAGCTCACCAACACTGTTGTCAGAACCCATGCTGCTATTTTGTCGTCCCCCAAGATATAGCTGGATAACATCTTCATATCCATTAACTACCGCACCAAGCAATGCATAACAGGCCAACTGGCCTCTTTTGATCTGCAGACTTCATGTTCACGGGTGCCCCCGTCCTCAGCCACAATGGGATCTTGGCAAGGCCTCAGTTTCTAGCCAACCGGGACCGCAGACATTTACATAAGAAAGGTTACAAATGGAAGCACGCCATTGAGCCCATCTCGTCTGCTTGCCTGCGAGCTGCACTGTGCGTCTGATACCGTCCTTGCATTTAAATTCGTGTGCCTTTCAACGGCGTCAACACAAGTCTAAATCGGCTCCTATTGGCAATGGGAGCTCCACTCAAATCCAAAATACAGAGCGCCTGGTGTGCTCATGAAATTTCATGACTTGAGCTTAGTATTTTTATATCACATAACCAACAAAGCTATTTGCTTACTATTAAAAAGTAAAAAAAGGTAATGCAGCAAACTAGGTTTTACACCCTCTTCGTCGTACCTGCACATATAATATTCAATCCGATAGACAGACAGCCCAGGAGAGATGATTCAAAGACGATCTCAGAATGCTGTAAAAAAAATCTTCGGAATTTGCTATGATACGATACTAAAACGACAAACTCCTTATACAAGATTCAAAACCTATATTTGAGTACCTCCGAACAATGTAGAAATACTGTATGTACCTTACGGAACACTTGCTCACATGGTTGTTCACGATATGAGAAGCTAATTTGAAAACTACATTTACAGTATATTGAACAATCTCCGTTTCATTTCAAACTCGCAATACAAATATTCCAGCTTCTAAAAAGAAATATGTAATACACCCACCCACACTGCATACGGTTATCTTGTGTTCTGGACTGCATACAGTACAAGCTTTGGTTATGTTGTTACACTCTGGAGCACGCAGATCGGACTGGTGTTTGATGTAATTCTAGTCAGTTTAAGATAAGCCTTTTCTAACCTACCTAAACACCTTTTAATGCCATATAATCAAATTGATTCCATTGAATATACGTTACTGGTAATTAAAATTACTCTGAATAAACTATAAAATGCATGATTAATACGTATAACAGGCAATTCTGTATTTACATCAGCTCATTCTGATAAGCATTTTAAAACCTCATCCTTTAACAAATTATGATCAGTATTTGTATTCGTATTCCGTTTACTAAATATTTTACTGCGCTGCTGTAAACCTGTGACCATACGCCAATAGAGTATTACAGGAATTTTTCAAATTCTTGGTGTGGAAAACGCTCACTTCTTTCACATCTGACATATCAGGTTAAATAACGGATTAAAATTAAAAAATACTTATTAAAGCGAATTCAATAACGTTAAGCATGTCACACTATTTACCTTGAAACGAATCACCCTTTGAGCAGGTAGTTTTAAGTAGAACTGAAAATAAAGCGCGACTCAGACAGCAGCACACCTCTCCAAAAGACATTAAACCGTATTTTGACGCTCGAGTCGGCCTGATGATAAAAAAAAATTATCCAGGGGAATTTTACCTTTGCACCCGATCTTTCGCAGTAGTCCTGCTCCTGTCAGCTTCGCCGCGGTGCGCTCCGCGTGTCCCGTTCGCTTTGCTCTCCATTGAAATCGGGAGGGCGGCTTTTTTCTTTTGCAAAAACAAAAAACTAGACTGAAAAGCAAGCCGGCAAAAAGAAAAGTCCTCACCCCTCACCCGCCCCCTCCCTTCCGGACTCAGACAGGTGAAGTGTAACAGCAGCGGCCCGGGGCAAATCCCAGTACGGGGCTGTACGAGCACCTCCCAGGCAGGGACTGGAGCCACGGCTCGATGGGCACTCCAAAGTTCACGGCCGAAGTGGGGACGGCATTTGAGTAGAAACGCGCAACGCCAGCTGCCGCTTCAGACACCGGCAAAAGCACACGTTTACACCTGATCATCCAGCTAGCAGGCTCACCTGGGTAAAACCCACGATGGGAATTTTATAAAAAAAAGCCAAAACAAACAAGCCACGACGTCTGTGCCTGTGTCTCCGGTTGTTGTTGTTGTTGTTGTTGTTGTTTTTAACCTTGCCCGTGTCCCACTCGTAGTCCCGTCTGCTCTGCCCAACAGTGCACGCAGCTCTCAGTCTTCACCTGTCGTTTTCCACCTTTGCAAGCCGGCGACGCTCATGGTCATGGTCTTCTTCTTTTTCTTCTTCTTCGTCTTGCAAGATGTCACCGTACGGAGAAAGACAGACCTGACACGATTCGCCCCTCTTCTTCGACCTGCGACTGAAGACTCTTCTCGCCCCAGACCTGTCGGCCGGTTGCCTCGCCTCTCCCTGAAACTCCGGCGTACTTTCCTCTCCGCGACCTACAGTAGCTCCCGACACCCCGAGGACGCCGGGCACCTGTCCGTCAAGGGGCAGGGTGGAGCTTGTGGAAACAGCCAACCGGCTACACATCACCCTCCTTCAGCTCTCAGGGCTCTCCCCCTCGTCCTGCTTAATCCCATCTACGGACAGGAAGTCATCTGCAACCGGATCCAATTAATCAATTGTAAAGCGCTGTTCGGTACACCGGACACCGCGGTGTGCGTTTCCTACCACGGAGGTGGGCACATCACGGTTGCCATCATGACGAAAAATAAGTTTAAAAATCTAAATAGACGTATAACCTAACCCTTCAGGCCCGTGTTCACTCTAAACCAATCCCACGCATCTTGTAAGTGGAAACCAGGCGCTCCGCCGATCACGTTACCTCCCCACGCCCAGCGCTGCAGGCGGTGCGGACAGGTAAGGCACCCCAGTGTGCGCGCCTTCCCACAGTCCGCGGTATAAACAGCACCGCAAGTCCACTGAAGTAGTCCTGCCGGAGAACTTGGCACAGATCTTGTTCTCCCTAAGCTTCTTCTTTAGAGATGCGAAGTCTGCCAGCGGTATTTATAACGAACTCTGTCCAACTTAATCCCGTCGATTATCCCCCTTCCTGCTGAAATCTAAACGGATTATCCCAGTTTCAACCATATTAATTGTTTGTCGAAGCACTTTTGACAAATAATTGAAATGAGCATTAACGACGCACTAACACCATATACTGACTCGATCCGCTTGACTTTATTAAAAATGAGTGATTATTTGTATAGTGCCTTTCATAAATTTAAACTGCTCATGCCAGTTTAAGGCATTTCACAGACAGAAAGGGGGAGAATACAGAGACAACAGCTACTACTACAAAAGGAAAATATAGAAAATAGATGTAGGAACTGTGCTAATTATACATTTTAATAATTATAAGTCAATAAGAAATGAAGAAAACAATACTGAAACAAGTATACACAAGGTACTCCAATTAAAAATCAAACAAATCAGAACTAGAGAGCATCAGTAACTGTAATATCAAATAGATTAAACATGTAATAAGATCCTATGAAAGGGCTATAATATAAAAATAAGTTTTTAATGTTTAATGGTTTAAAATGAAGATGCATTTCTAACAAAAGCAGACAGAAAGTTCAGATCATTGTGACAAAGCAGTTTTTTTACTGCTATTTAGAGTTTTACTCTGGGAATTCACAAAGGGACTGTCTTTTCTACTGAACTTCACAGTTTGTACAAGCTAATAGGGAATTAAAATTGCAGCAGTCTAGTGAATATTAAATAAAAACATGAACTGCTTTCTTAGAATCATGAAATTATTTGGTTTTAATATATTTAAGGTGTTAAATTTATAGTTTAAAGATAGCTATATGCCTCTCAAAACTTAGATCATAGTGGAATAACATTCATATTCTCACTTCAGATTTTAACTTAACAAATATCAATCTTAGCTGTCAGCTTGTAATAAATTCTGTCTGGTCTGAATTCAGGCAATTCAAAAACGTTTGAGACATGTAATCTGATTTCATCAAGAGTCTTGACTAAAGCTGAACTAGTAATGTCAGCAAGTTTCAAAGAGATGTACAGTACGTACAGTATGTTGTACGTTGCTCAGTAAAATAGTTAAGAGTTCACACCAGGCTTACAAAAGCACAGAACACTGGACCTGGAAGGGAACCCTAAGGGACACTCTGTATTCATCCTGATACATGCTCTCCAGATGAAATAATGTACTGTCTTTCCTTCTAGTCTTTGCAACAATCTACTGTTTGTTAGGTATGACCTTAACCAGTTCAGAAAAGTTCAACACAGAATTACTCATTGCTTAATAAATACGAGTAAAATAAAGCTCTCGAATCTGCATTCATAAGTAAGATAAGATCAGATCAGTTTACAATATACAATATACAATATACAATATACAATTTACAATATCTTGCATGAGGAATTTGTCTTTTCGCATACCCCAACTTGCTCTTCATGAGACACACAGGTAGGGAGAGAGAAGCTTGGGGTCAGAGCGCAGGGTCAGCCATTTACACAGCACCCCTGGAGCAGCTGGGGTTAAGGGCCTTGCTCAGGGGCCCAACGGAGTAGGATTCCCCTGCTGGCTGCGGGATATGAACCGGCAACCTCCAGCCACAGTCGCAACCATTTGCAACTCTTAACTAGTAAACATGTACAGGACTCTATCCTTTGAATAACTTTTCAAAGATTGTATTAGTTTAGAAATCGATTAATTTTGATTAAGCAGTATATTTTTACAAATCAAAGCTAACATTTTGAAACGTATTTAATAATTAAAGACTTTAGGTTATAGAGTTTATGTAAGGGCCTAACAAGGACAGTTTTAATGGCAGCCAGAAATGTTCACTTAGAAAAAAAGCAGTTTATTACTGCACAAACATAATTGCATGGATTACTAAAGAACTCCTTTAAATTTCTGTTGTATCCAAAGGGGAAGAAATAGATTCAATCTTCCTTTCAGTTGTATTTATGTAGAATGTAAAGTTTCAAATATTTTTACTGAACAGTCTTAATTTTATGCATTTGGACAGATTTCCTAAGAAATTAAAACAAAATCAGTAAATAGGAAAATTCTGAATTACTATATATTTGTTTCTGGATTTTGTGCTGTTCTTGAAATTACGTGAGACGACAAGTAATTGCAGAATTAAACTGATACCTCAAGACAAATTTAAGTGTCCTTAAATAAACTTAAATTCCATAAATAAAGATGAATACGTATCCTTATTTGTCTGTACCATTGTGATACACAGATTGTGGCAGTTCATTGTATCAAAATCAGTAAATATGTGGACTTTTAAGCAGTAGGCTGCAGCAATAGTCCATTCTCTACTTCATACAATTTAGAGATTTGTCTTGTCAGTGCATTAAAGAAAACACTTTTTAAAGAATGCAGAGCATAAATACAGGTAAATGCATGACTACAAATCTGAAATATCAGCTGCCTGGGCTGTTGCATTTTTGCTCGGTTGTTATTTTGGAGTTACCTTAATGTACACATTTTACTCCTTTGATAATTTATACCGTACCATATTAATTCTCCCGTTCCCTCTGAGAAAGATGTTCCCCCAACATTATGCTTCTACTCTGTTTGTTGTGCCATGATAATAAAGACATATTCATTCTGCAGATATTCCACCACAAATCAATGACCTTAGAGCAGAGAAAGATACTGTTTGCAAAAATATTGAGAATCTGAAAAGATCTCACTGCAAAGATCAGCAATCACCTTTGTGATTTTCCTTTTTAGATTTTACACAAGATACAGGTTTGCATAACTTGTTACAATCACATCCTTGATCTGTTATTTTTCATGTACGTATACCAGGTAAAGGTAAAATTGCTTCATGAAAATTGGGCTAGAACATTGTGCACACAGGGCCAAGGTGACTACAATCTCAGTTTTGCCTTCACTTTAAAAGTGTTGTTGGATCTTAGAGTGAAACTCTATTGGTAGATATTTCTACACAATCCTGTCACATCGGACAGTTCTGTAAGCCTAAGTACCTATGAGGAAAATGCCAGAAGCGATGTCATTTATGATAGCATATGTGGCTGTTCTGCCATGTGTGAACAGTGGATATTTCTAAGAACCCTCCCTGTTTATGGATAATTATCAAAACTAATGTAATATTGAAGCTTGAGTGTTACTGACAGTGGAATGCATGAACTAACGTTTTAGTTACTGCGTACTGTATACAGTCAGTAAAGAACATGGCTGTAACATACCTAGCATGGGATCAGCTGATGAGAACGTCTTTAATTTGTGTTCTTTTAAAAACCTCAGTGATTCAGAAACAGTAGTGTGACTTGATGTTTTGGAACAAACATTCCACATTCCTGAAAGGACCAAAATCTTTTTTACACTCCACAGTTTCGCCTCCCGTGCTAGGTAATACTTTTCAGGGAGAATGCATCTGTCTTGCAATCTTTTTTTCACCTGGAAAAACCCAGCCCTTTTACATCCTGCTGTCTGAAGCAGATTCTGCACCACTGAAAGGCTGAACACATTTCGGTGCTTCTACTCCTCATTTACTTTCCTCAGTTTTCGTATTTGATTATTCTTCTGTCTCTCTGAATATCTGGGTTGCATTTCGGAAAATGTTTCACACACATGAAATTTCTAAGCATTTTCTAAGCATACACAGGTGTATGTAAAACCTGAATACGGGTCATGTGAAAACAATTTCCCAAAAGTTATGAAGTTCAGTTTTTTTGCACATGGGCCCAGTCACCATAATTTAAACAAAATAAGATTCAGCTACATAAATAAAAATGTTTTTTTTTAATTATGTGTACTGTTTGTTGCTTACCAATTGGTTGAGACAAAGCATGCATACTTTTAAATGTCTTGTCTGAATATAGAAATAATTAATTCTTCCCCAATATCTATTACAGTTGTAGTCTGCAGAATATTATCACTGCAATTTATATAACAATGTCGAACGGTTCTCGTTTTTGTTCTAATGTGACAAGATTGTAAAATAGCTCATGCATGTATGGAGCGCCATCTGCTGGGTGAAATGTCAAAGACGTTCACCAACTTTCTATAAGCTGCTGAAGTCAATCTAGAGGTGTGTTGCAGGTGCACTTGTGTTTCGTGATTGTAACTCTAACAATATGCTTCTTCATGTGTTGTGTTCGCTGTGTCTAACTTCAGTGGGTAGGTCAATTTGCAAATGTTACGTAAGAAGGGCATTTCACTTCAAACAACAAGTTATTAAAAACAGGGAAAGGAAGAGAAAATATACATAATTAGATAAGTGAAAAATAAAACGACAAGAAAAAGGTCATTGAGCACAACAAATAAAGGGTGTAAATATACTAAAGACGTTTGGTTAGTAATTTGCAGATGGAATGCCACAGCATTTAAATATCCACAGTGAAGGAAGGGAGACAGAAGGGGGGTTTTGTCTCACATTGTCTGTTGCGTTTCTCATGGCTTTATTGAAACGAGAAGGAAACAGGAGGTATGAAGAGAAGTGTCTGTGCAGGGATGCTAGAAACTCCTGTGGAAAAACTGTGTGGCCAGGAAGCGCTCCTCTTGGAGCTCGGAGGTGTCAGAATAAACAAGCGAGCCCTAGTTTCACCTTCTGCGATCCTGGCTCCTGATCCGGGAGAGCTGCAGTCCTGCTGCTTTACTGGAAACCCAAGCCCCTGGTTGAGTAAAGACCTGAGAACAGTGGTCACTAAGAGTAATCAAGTCCGTAGCCGATTCAGTGAAGTCATCAGGAGCCCATGTAGTAAAGAAAACCTGAATACTCTGTGCCTCTCCGGGACCTGGAATGAGGATCACTACTCTTCAGTTTAGAGGGCAATTATGTCTCCAAATGTTCCCGGTTAGTACTAGCTGAGAGATAGTCTTCTGCCTCAGTCACTGACAGGTACTGACAGTACACTAGGCATCTCATTGAAAATAGCTTGAAATGTGTGCCACACATGTGATCTTTAATCTTGTATATTTGTTTCTGTGTGGGTATAATTTGCAGTCGTGGCTCAGCTATGTGCAGTTTGCGTGAATGGTGTTCATCAGTGCTTCACCAATATGACTTCAGAACAAAATATCTAGATGTTCTCCTCGCAGGCAGAAGATGGCTCGGAGTGAGCATGTTATACGTACAGCAGCTCATTTCAGCACCCTCTGTGTATGACCCCTGCCTTGCTGTCTTGCGTGGATGAGGCACATGTGTGAACACATTAGGTTTAAATTGGAGAAAATGGCTTTATCCATTCGAAACAGCCCTTTACAAACTGCAACCAGTTGCCTTGATAGGAAACAGGGAAGTGAAAGCAGACATTAAAGAATGTCATTAGTTTTGGAATATACACGCAATTTACTTTTTGTACAGAATATACAATATATCCTTTGCTTGTAGAGGAGTACAATAATTGCAGTCATTAAAGATCCTAACGGCTGCAGAATGTTAATGCACTTCACAGTTATCCTAATGTAAGAGGCATAGTTTCTGATTTTTTTCTCAGTGTGAAATGTTGCTCTCTGCTTGTTTGGGTCTGGTACTGTCCTCTAGTGTTTTTCAGCTTTGCTGAACAATGAAACACTTTTTCACCCAGTACATACAGGAGAGTAATCAAAGGATGTATTCCTGAACAGAACTTAGTGGACTGTGAGGAGAAGGAATTGTCTGCTATTTCCATACCTGTTTCATTCCTCTGTGCTCTCACATAATGAGCTGATTACTAAAGATTATATTATGATTAATTATGCTAAAGATTATAATATGAGAGGCCATTGAAATGTTTCATTTGCTTAAGGTTTAGTTTAGTTTCCATTATATTTTTGATTAAGTGCTGTTGTTGACATTTTACAATTATCCATCAAAATGAAATCATAGGTGGATTATTCTGCTTTTGCTATAAATTGCTATAATTGTTTTTAATCAGGTAGGGAAGCAGCAATTACCAGAATTTTGGGGGGGATATTTTGGAAAACAAATATCATTCGCTTATATGTTTAACATTTACTTACATACTTCATGATTACAGTGAATCAGTGTGGCAGTGAATAAATGCATCAAAGTACAAATGGTGTCATACTGTATATGGATTATTTCTGTGGTGCCCCAAGATTAAAAGGTAAAAGTGTCAGTGCACCGGATGGTTTTACGTTTGAAAGGAGTTTCCAATGACACTGAGGCATCGCCGTAACTCTCTGCCTTGTACTTGGGAGTGTCTCTAGGAACAAAGCTGGTCTTTCCTCTTCCTTCTGTCAGCTGCTGATCTTGCACAGCTGGCCCAGCAATGCTGAACTGTCTGAATCTCTCACTGTTGTCAGATCGAACCATAGAGCTTGGCGATCGAACCATAGAATTGCCTTTAACACTGAAAGTATCATTAAAATCGAAGCCCTCCTCACTTTTGTCTAAATAAACACCACCCCTTCCACCATCAAGTAGCTCTTCTGATAAGGCTGTGTCTTGGAGATGTTTGTCCTTCTCTCCAGTACCATTGCTTAATATGTCTGGATGGGCCACTTCATAGTGAGAAGCCATGCAAGAAGTTGCAGGAATCGGACCGTCCTCTGTAAACCTCTGATGTTTTATAGTGTGGGCCACGGAACCAGAGGTGCTGGAATGTGAGGATGGGTTAATTCCCATGAGTACAGGCTGGATGCAGTGGAAAGCTGGTGTTGCTGGAAGTCTGGAGCTGTCGTCCTCAAATTCTATACTTAGGGAGGCTTGTGTTTGACGTGGAGGGGGAGATCCACTGCTCTCCAGAAAAGACCCTGTTGGAAAGTTTGTTTGGGTGGCCCAGGAGGGGATCTCTCTGTTCTGAGTAGATTCGGTTTCTGTCCCCCGTTCAGTTCCCTGCTGTACAGGTAGACTGTGGATCCCCTCATGGCCGAGCGCTCTTGGGGATCGAGTCCTGCCCGCCTGCGGTTCAAGCTGTGAAAGCTGAGGGCTGTTTGTAGAGTTTAAGGGATTGTGTCCCAGAGATTCATGGCCGTTTTGTCTGGAACCAGCTGCAGGGCTTACACATTGCACAGATAAAGCAGGAATGGCATCCGAGGCCCCGGCTACCAAAGAGCCACTTAGATTAGAGAGCAATTCAGCCTCTTGATCTGTTACATCTATTTTAGGCTGAGCTGTGCCCGAATGACTGGGAATGACCTTGGCCGTACTGTGTGGCTTTGTTTCAGTACTCTGTTTATTTTCGCCCTCTGGACATGGTAAGGGCCTGGGGGCGCTGGATGCTGCGGTACCTGGGACACGGGGGCTTGCCATGTCGATCGTTCTATCATCAGTGGCAGAAGGGACCACACGGGAGTGTGGCCTGCACCAGACCGCGGGACAGGAGAGAACGACCGGCAGGGATAATGTGGGCCCGGCCTCCAAGCTCTCCGTGTTGTGAAGGATTGCAGGCCGATTCCACGTTTCTGCTGTCATCAGCTCCTGCACCTTCACCCTTCCCCACTGAACCGGTTGTCTTCTTCCGGGGTCGTCGGCCTCCCGTTTTGGGGCTTTCCCCAGCTTGCGTCCGGCTGTGTTACCGTCCTGGCGACAGACGCCCATAGCCTCAAACTTCGCCATCAGCGCTGCCAACGTGGGCTTCCTGCCCGCCGGATGGCTTTCGGAGGGCTGACTCGGCGCGGGCTTTTCCATGCCCTTCTCCTTTTCCTCTGCGGATGCAAACCTGGACAGCATTTTCTGAACCGTGCCTTTCGGGTTCGCCCTCTTCTTCACCCCCCCGCCCCTGATCTCCAGGCTTTCTCTCCCCTTGGGCAGGTCCCACTTGGCGGCTTCTCCAACTCTTTGACCCCAGCCGCCCCTGTGCTGGAGAAGCCCAACCTCTCGGCTCCTCTTCCTCTCCGGCTCTCGGTTCTCCCTCATGAACTTGGACTGGAGCAGCTGGAAGGCGGTCGGGCGTTTGACGTTGTCCTTCTGGGCCTGGCCCGCGCTGGGCTTGTGGCCGTGACCTCCTCCTGGCGGCCTGTTCTCCTTCGCCAGCAGCCCCGGCGCGGGGGGGCTCAGAGACTGGCTCAGGTACTGCAGCAGGCTCCGGAGAACCTCGCTGGCTCCAGAAAGCGCTCCCCGGACCCCGACCAGGCGTCGCAGCTCAGTGGGATCCACAGCGAGGGCTCTCCCCTGGGGTGTGGTGTGCGTGCTTCTGTGTGAAATAAAGATCTTCTTTTTGCACCGGGTTTTATTTTCTTATCGCGAATCCTAGTGGTGAAAGGCTGAAAAATAACACTCTGTCTGGATCCCAGACACCACTGGGTCGTATGAGTTGTGGACGAAAACAGCTTTTTACACCAAACACAGTCTGATAAGTTAACAGTTTGATTTGTATTTCTCGATCATTTTTTTCATGAACAAAACCATTAAAACATTTAAGCCAACAGCTTTGTAACAGTCCTAGATGGGCTAATCTAATTTAAAATGAGGTAGTCCAGGAATAATCCCCTAACAGGATGGTTAGAGGCTGGGAGAAATGCTGATTATTATCGATGTCTGAAGGCGTTTATGAAAGTGCTCTTGTTAATAGTGCACACGTGGGTCATACACAATGGGCAGTGGATAGACTGATGATGGAAAATAAATGAGATAAAGTTCATTGTGGTGTAAGTACTGGTGGACTGATACAATAGAAGGCTGTCAGTCGGTGACCTAAGGTCACAGGGCATTAATCTCATTTAGGAGAGGGCTAAGGGTTGGGTGAAGACCACATTGCAGAGAGGAAGCCAGTGAAGGACTCATGTTATCTGAGATCACTCCATTTTTACCATTTAGCTAAGCATATTGTAGTTAGAACCTTAAATATGATTTAATGATATCTACTATGGTGAAGGTTTTTTGTAACCCAGCATTATCTTTAAAGAATATGTTAAGAATCATACCAGTGAATTTTATGCCCATGTCAATAACCTCTTCCGCAGTTCAACACCAGGTGTTGTGCACCATGAATGGTGCTGAAATCAAGTCAACTGGAGACATACCCCCCCAAGTAATTTGTAGGTTTCACAATTGAGAAAATATCAAGGTCTTTTCCATGCCAAATGAAGAATTTGGTCAAATATGTCTGAGAATTTGAACGGTAATGCAATGAGCATTTATTTCTCTTACCATCATATCTGGGGACAAAAGAGAAACATTTCAGACAAATGCATACTACAAGGAAACAAAAAGAAATGGCTTGTCTTGCACTTCAGCTTTGAGGTAGAAGCCTTGTTAAAGTTTCATATTAAAAAATACACCCAGATACTTGCCATGTCCAACAAAATTAATTAATTACAGTATATCACAATTGGGGCTTATCGTTCCAATTGCACAGTAATGTAGCCTCTAAGAAAGCTTAATTGGAGGTAATTTTGAGATACTGTAACACTCTTTTACGTCTAAAGCGACAATCTAGAATACATCATCTAATAAATAACAACCGCAAATAGACAACCACAGCCTTATGATCTCCGAACTCTACAAGTGTAGTGGCACAAGCGAAAACTGTGAAACTGCACAAATTGTGAAGGAGAAGTTGCCTATTTTCCAGGTGTTAAGTGAGCTTCAGTGCGCAACAGCTGGTCAGACTGGCCCTGTGAAAAGCTCTGTACTAGAGGAGAATGTGTGCTGTCTCTCAGAAACAGAAGCCGACAGTCTGTGAAAGGGGAGCCAGGCACAGTCAAAACGGAACACAGAAATAATATTTAAAAAAAAAAAAACATCCATTTAATCAGAGAGGCAGCAGGGAAGCGCACAGCCCCGTTGGCGACGGGCCGTGCCTTCCGCGGCCCACAGCGGTGCGGTTACTTCTCAGCGCTGGCGGCCTTGAAGAGCTCCGCTCCCAGGAACTCCAGCCTCTCCCTCTTCTCCAGGCCGCGGTACAGGCCCGCCGGCACCTGCTCCAGTCCGTACCGCAGTCCGTACAGGCAGCCCGCTATCGAGCCCGTAGCGCCACTCTCTCCTTCGCCGAGGACAGGGGGAAACGCAAGCGAGACGTGACGTTAGTCTCGGCGCGCGGCTCGGGGGGGGGGGCTCTCGGATCGGATCGGCGGGGCGCGGGGCAGGCGCGCGAGGGGGTCTTGGCTGCGCAAGGCGAGCGGCGCGGGCTGCGTGTGAGGAGCTTTTATCTGTCAGTGTTTCGGACGCGTGTTGTGTCCCCAGCATGTGTGGCCCTGTTAATGAGTGTGCTCCTGCCCTGGGGCTGAACAGCGTGTTTTTTACCGTGCCGTGTGGCCCCTGGTGTGTCCTACAGTACTAGGGCAGTGGTTCCCAGTCCCGGTCCTGGTGACTCACACAAACCTTTGGATTTTGTTCCAGCTGAGCCGTCAGCTACACAATCAAACCCTGCATTGACTTCGTAATGATAAGATCGATCTGGACCGTTTGTTCCCGGCTCTTACACATGTTGGAACTGTTACCGTTGTATTCTTGTAAATGAAATTAAATCACAAATGTGGGACTAGAATCAAAATGCAAATATTCGGTTGAAGCAACTTCTTAGATCAAGTGAGGCTCCAGTGATCTGATGAAGGTGGGATTTAATGACAACCAGTAGGTCTGTGGATGACCAGGACTGGGAACACCTATACTAGAAGATGGAGGTCTGTCAGCCACCAGATATGTTCAGCTTAGGTCTTTTGACATCTGAGGTCCTTTTAAATACCTGTTTCCCATGTGTGTTTCTAAATTTCTCTTCTGCTGTATTATAACTAAAAAACTGAAAACAGCCTACTCCACATTACAAATGACAGCTATGTCTCTCAGGTGTCCAGCGCAGAGTGAAAGCTGTGCTTCCTTTTGTACCACTGGAGCAGCACATGTGAGCTGGCTGCCTGCAGACCGTGGCAGACCTACCTCCGTGAAACATGGCCCGCTTGCACAGCTCAGTCCAGTCAGAGCCGGCTGCCAGGAGGGCATCGTAGGCGATCATGGGGGCGTCGTGCCCCCTCCTCCCCCCCCGGCCCTCTGAGCTCCAGCGCTTGTATATCTGTAAGAAAGGACACCCACCACACGCAGCTCGTTAGACCAGAGCTGCCTCCTCATCTAGCATACGAGCTAATCCTGCACGAGATCACTCGCCCGCCTCTCCCGGCACGACGTACAATAGGACAGGAAAAAGACCAGCATCTATAACACAAGTTAGAAGGAGCTCTTTTATTTCAAATATGTGTCATTGGCTGGTTTCTTTTTACCGTGCTATCAAGTTCTCTGGAGTTTCCCTAGGGTGACGTTTGGACTAGCAATAGTGACTTTTAATGAGCACTTGGATTGCAGACGGAAAATGTATGTTTTCCTGAAAGAAACGTGTTCACGTGCCTGAAAAAACCTCCACTGAGGTTTTCTTCTCCATACTGTGTTTTTTTTTACTTATTTCAGTACAATGGATTTCATCATCTTCATATGAATGAATCTTCATCAGCATCAAAAGGGTCTGGAAGTAAATGATAAATGGTGCCTATCCAGTCCAGAGGATTACAACAAAGAAGACGACGTAAAAAATAACAAGAGATTACATGTACTAATAAAGACATTTTCAAGTTTTGAACGTCATGTTTGCCACTATCTAGACCATTCTGAATTAAGAGAAGAGCTTTCTTGAAGTTAATGGGTCAGAGTACTCAGGTCTACCTCTTGGGATCTGATGCTGCCTGCATGCTTGACTTCAGATGACGGAAGGAAGTATCCGAGACAACCGTTCTTCATCTGCCTCCTACCTTGTCCATTTCCTCCGCATCATGGCGTTCTGGAAAGGCCGGCTTGTCCTGTCCATCCCTCTCGATTTCTCTCTCCTCCAGGTAGAACTGCCATTTCGTCTCAAAGTAAAACCACTTTTCCTGGTATTCTTGGAAAAAGAAAAGCACAGAGGCCCCACATGAAGTCTGCTGTGACAGCAGCACTCCTGAGTCTACGTGGGCCGATCCCTGCGGTTTTGGGGGGCCCTACCTGCCATGTGTCGGATTGTTTTCCTGCAGTACTCCTCCGCCGTGGGCAGGACCTTCATCATGTCCCTCCCCCATCGCACCACGGGCCTCCCCTGCACGGCGTACGAGGCAAACAGAGCCGCACACAGAGAGCCCAGGAACCCTGCCGCGCAGACAAGAGCGTCACAGCAACTAGTACTGTCTGAGCGCTGTCGGACTTTACTGAAAATGTGCAAAGACTGGACGTGGCACTGCTAGTTTAGAAATGAGCATAAGAGTCTTGTATCATCACTTCCTGGATGAAGGGACCTAACATGCCTCTGCTGCGATATTCCCAGTCTTAGTTTCAGACTTGGATGCAAAGTCTGTCTACTTTGAAAGACAACCTACACTCCTGTGTATATCCAGAGCAGTAGTAAGACAGCCGCTCAACAAGACACAAGCTTGATGGACTCTGTAGCTATGGTTTTAAATAGCTTCCTGTGAAGCTTTAACTGCAGTGGATTTGCTTTATTTTTTAGAAATGAATGGAAACGGGGAGGAATAGTATAACAGCATCAATCAGCACACTGGCAGTCCTGCAAGGAATTAAAAATTGGTGGTGGTGGAGGGGAGACCCCATTACCTGTAAAGCGCTTTGAGTGGAGTGTCCAGAAAAGCGCAATATAATTGTAAGCAATTATTATTATTATTATTATTAAATGACTTTCACTGCTTGTTGGACACTGTCGCCATTCTCATGGCATGGAAAAGTACACAAAGGCGTAGCACGTCAGCGAGCACTGCAGGACAGTCCAGCCGGGAGTGCACCAGGCAGCCAGCTCACATGGTGCAGGTTACCCCTTCCTTGGATGCAGCGTCTAATGATCTCGGAGACTGGCGATTTGCCGTACCTGTGGGGTGATTGTGGGTCATGCGGCCGATCTCGATGCTCACTTCCACCAGCGTGTCCAGCCTCTCCGGTTGCCAGTATCGCATGCCAACGCACATCGCCTTAGTCGCGGCCCCGAACCCCGACCCTGAAGGAGGAGGAGGAAGAGGAGAGGCAGCAGCCGTTCAGATCTGGAAATGGAACAGCCTCGATCGCACGGTTTTGAAATTTTTTTTTTCTTTTTTTTCCGTTAACTCTGACCTCTCTCGTTGAAGGGCGTGTGCCAGGCCAGGAGGTAGTTGTCTGGTTTGAGCTGGGAACATCCCTCCACGGTGGCAGGGTCAGGCTGTCTTCCCTGAATGCTCACCATGGCCTCCACGTACAGCCTCACCATCTCCCTGTACAGGTCCTCCAGCGACCAGTAGTCTGAGCCAGCGCAGAGAAGAGCGGGGTTTGTTTCATTCGACATAAAATAACACTGCACAACATACATCAATCTTCCCAGGAGTGTATACTCTCCCAGACCGATCAAATCTCTACTACGTTTTAGAGGTGTTCTCGCAAAGGTGGCTGTCCTATCTCAATCAGAGCAAGTGGTTGCTGGGGCTGGATTTTCACAATGAAAGAGTCCCGGCAAGCCGTATTGCTTGGTGGAGTCCCAGTCTCTTTTCCCTGTCCCGGCTCTGAAATTGCGGTCCTCCAGTTCTCTGCAGGAGCCCGAAGGAACAGGGTTTTCCTCCCTAGTCCCTGTACAGGGTCCGCAGTCCCTTCCAGCGCTCCTACGCCAGGGAGAAGCCCCATCAGTAGTGCTGAGGATGAGCGCTGACTTACTGGGTGTTTCACGCCTTCTGCCTCCCTCTTTGAAATGGGAGTTTAACGTGCGGCATTTGTGGGATCATTTTTTAGGGCCTCCTCTCTCGTATTTGATTGACACTGGCTGCCAGTCAGTGGTGATGTATGTGATCCATTCTATCTTTGAAGGCCTGTCTTGTTGAAATGAAGTGGAAGCCCCAATGCAATTGTATTGTTTCAGGAAAGGTTCTTGCTGGTTTAAAGACCCCCTTAACATGGTAAATATAAAAACATCTATATGCTGTTCTGCGCGAGCACATTGGGGAGCTTTCTGCTGCCGCGGGTCTGTCTCTGTCTGATTGACCCCAGAGGCTGTGGAAAAGCAGTATGCATCTATCCAGTGCCTTGCCAAGCACTTCATACAGCATGCTTCAGATTCCCATTAAATGAAAACTGACATGCCACGCTAAATTTAGCTGTGTCTGCAGGAGATAAATTGGAGCGCTGATTGGTGGGGCAGTGTTCCCGACATGACAGGGACCCTGGAGAGGAATGAAAAATAGCCCTTCGTCTATCAGACGGGTTGTGGTGGCGATCAGGAAAAGACAGAACAAATGACCTGACACAAAACTCAGAAGTTTGACGCTGACAAAAATATTGTTCAGGACATTTTTACATCTGAATAAAGTTTAGTCTCGATCTTTATTTGGCTCCTTTTATACAATTAATAAAAACGACAAATACTGTATCACTAAAGCAGTCAGAAAACTAGACCGATTAATACAGTGATTCATATTAATAGTGTTGTTGTTTTTATTGTATATTTTATTGTATATACTGTATATTGGAGAGGGCACAGTGCAGAGCAGTGGCTAGATTCACAGTTAATTGTTAATTGGGTTAATCGGTTAAAATTGGCTTCTGTAAAACTGGCCCTGGTTTTCCTGGGTATGGATTATCCTCCCTTTCTAAACTTAATGGTCAAATTCCGTAATGTAACAAAAAGCTGGCAGATATGTTCAAAAGAATGAAAATGAACAGAAATAGTATAATAGCAACAATCAACACACTGCCACTTTTGCATAGAACTAAATTACACTAACTGCTTGTTCAAGATTATTTACCATGAACATAAAACCCATATTCTCCTGTTCTTTAGATACAACAAAACAGTGTGATTCTTACCATGAGTGACTCTTACAAACCTACAACGTAGCCTTTGTTAATGTGAGTTAATACTTTTGGCCAGTACATCCATCGTCTCTTCAAAAGGTGAATGAGACTAAGACATAAACGTCATGCAATATAGTTTCTAATGTGCCCCTAAAGGTCAAGGCCTTCGAAGAGAGCACAGAGAAGACTTGTCGTGTCTGTCATGGTATTTCCTTCAGGCAGGGAGCCCGTCAAACCAGAGGGAGAATCGCCTCAGAGGGGCTGCATTCCAGACTAAGAGCTGTCGTCGCCACACCAGGAGACCCTCAGCAAGGTCGCTTCTGTAGACTGCTTGGTTGACGTGTTCTTGCCTTTTCATACCCAGCTCTGTTCTGCTCTTCATCTGGTTTAAGTTCGATTGTTCCAGTCCTTGATTTTGTTGTCAGCTCATTCAGCACTCACTTCCTGGTTTGCCCAGAAGAGCTAGGGACCTGTGTCAGTGCCTCAAGGGCTTCAGGACCCAAGGCTTCTTTCAAGCGCACAGCACACGGAGCTAAGATGTGACAGAGACTGGGCACCCTCTCCTCTCAGCGCCGCACTTGTAGGAAATACTGGAACCGCAGGACACAGGGCATTACATTCAGCGAAGCTATGTCAAGAACAAGGATTCATTACACTGTAACGTACTGTATTGGGTTGATGGGGGTTTCAGATAAAAACAAAAAGAACGGCTAAAAAAAAACAGAACCTTAGAGCTGAATTTCTGTGCCTAAAGACCCCGTTAAACTCAGACGCTGTCACTGCCTCTTTTCGGGTGCAGCGCTTGTTGAACGTGGTCAAATGAAACCACAGTGCACTTGGGAGTGGAATTTTATTTTATGTGCCCAAGGTCACGTCAGCACTCACCCACTGTTTATTGTTTGGCTCTTTAACTGTGCTTCACATGCCCTTTCCAGCCCACCTATTTTCTGGCCCCTCGTATTTCATGGAGACACTAGCATCAGAAGCACGTAGCAGACATTCATCTTATTATATAAAAACGCGTAATGAGGTGTGTTAGAAGTTACATCATTCATGTCCTTGAAGATGATACATTTGCAGCTGGCGAAAGTGGTAATTTACCAAAGTGGCTTTTGATGCCTGTCACTGCACTTGTACTAGAAAACTGGGACTATACAGTAGAAGTTCAATGGGCGGGCTGATATTTACAATGCTACAAGACATCGGTATTTAGAATTGTTTTCTCAGCTGTTATTCAGTCATCTTAATATCTGAACCCCAGACCGTTCTAAGATAAAGACACTCGGGGGATTCTACGTGACTGAGTGGACAGTCCCCTCTGACGCCTCCTATCCCTGCAGGTTTTCAGTCAGCTCCGAGACGCTGTGGAATAGTTCCAGGATCCCCCTGCCAGTTCCCTTAGGCACAGTCACAGTACTGACGCTGACACTCCCTGCCAGCTTGGCTCACACAGTCCATCCCGTACTCTTGGCACAATCCTTTAGGGATACAGGAATTACCCAATTTAGCCGTAAGTCTTCCATGAAGAGTTCTCTAAGAAATATTGTGCCTGTGCATAATCCATGTGAGCCCTGGGCCCCGAACACGGTCTATTTTTAACTGCATTCCTTTCAATACGTTATATCGTTCGACAGATTAGAGAGGATTTTCTGGGTAAATGCTACAGTACATCTTACAAGTATGCCTATATGTCATCTCTATGTTCCGAAATTACTTTTTACCATGCTGTTGTCAACATTACATTTTTCTGTCTTGCTCCATTTTGTAAGAAGGCACGTAATGCATTCTAGGAAAGCTTCTTCCGATCCCTTCCTGACACAAGGTGCAGCTTCAACGGGCTCTTGGACTATTCGTTATAGCGCTTCCACTGAACGAAATCCAGAGATCGTAGGCTTTTCTGTTGGGCGATACTTGCTCCTTGAAGAGAGACTATTGTGGTGCAGTTCCTACTGTCCCTGAAGTGTGGAGCCGACCCGAGGGTACAGTAGCCAGTCCCCTAGCCCTCTGCCTGCTTACCTGTGATCAGCGCTTCTGCTGTCGTCATGTGCATCAGCGTCCCGTCACTCAGGGGCCAGTTGTCCTCATCCACGGTCAAGCTCCCCATTCCTCCCAGAGCCGCCAGCTCCTCCTGGATCTGTACCCCAGAGGTACAGCTCTCCCACTTGCCTTTCCTGTAGCCGAGGGCATCGCCCACCCCGCCGAGCACCATGGCTGCCTGGAACTTCTCCATCTCGGCACAGCTGGGCAGCCGATCGCCTCCCTGGTCGCTTCTTTTACCACCTTCTTCTCTCCCCTCCCCTCCTCCCCAGCAGTGTTTTCTGCTGCTATTGAACCGCGGGCATGCTGCTGCCTCCCTTGCGCCTCTGTTGTTTTAACTACCCTCACTCGCCCACCCCCCCCCCCCCCCCACACACACACACATCCCCCACCTCAGCCTTTATCAGGGCCGGGCATTGTGAGGCGGCGTGTGCCCGCATCAGTGTATCAGGTGTCTCCTAAAAAGGCAATCCCCCAGACCTTTGTGAATCTGAAGCTGTCAGCTGGCTCTGTATCACAACCAGCCCTCGACAGCTCCCCACCCCCACTCTGGGGGATAAGAATGGACCATTACTCTGTCTCTCAGTTGTCTGTCACCAGTCATTAACATTGCTCGCTCAAGAAGGGCAACTGCGTAGGGCTGCAGGGAATGGACACTTTCCGTGGGATTTTCACTCCTTGCTACACTAGGCCCCACAGGATGGCCACGGGGACTTCCTGTTTAGTCTGGTTTCAGCAGCAGTATCTCGTACTGTAAATCCTAAACCCTGTACTGTTAAAGGAATTACGCAGAACCGGCAACATAAGAAACGTTATAAAGAGAAGGCCGTCATTTTTTTTAAAAAATTCTCCCTTTTCTTAACATTTGTGCAGAGCCACTTTAAATTAGCTGTCCCCGGTAAAAAAAAGACAGCACAAAACTTTCCAGTAGAAACCGAGTGGAGAGGTGTCAAGGAAGTTAATTATTTTGACCGTGACTCTGAAGCCCATTTCCAGCAATTCAATCTCGAGCATCTCAGCAGCCATTAAGGAAAGCACTGCGGAATTTTGCCTTTAATCTCAGTGACATGGTTAAGTGCCAAAATACAGCAAAGTGGCATTTTTCCAGCCCTTTAAATGTTTGGCTGTACTGTGTCATACAGTGCTTCTGTATTATCCTCAAAAGCTAAATGAAATTTCCCCCAGGGAGAGAGCATAGTGCCACAAATACTTCAGAGACAACAGCACAGGGTAAATAAATCCTCTCTTGGATGTAAACAGGTGATGTTAAACAGTGGATTGAAAGAGGGGGAGTTTAGGTTTCATCTACGGGAATCGAAAAAGTATTACAATCAGTACTACCAAGGACAGAATTACCAAACCGATGTTCCTGGATTTAGCTAAATGTGGATTTCCTTGCTTTATTGATTTGTTGCTTTTAATTGTGAAACTGCTTCTGGTTATCCATGCGCAGACTTCCCTATGTCTATTGTAAAACTTCCAGCAGCGGGCTGGGTACGTTGCTCTAGTTCCTGGCCTTTCAGTTTTTTGTTTCACCAGAGTAATCAATGACTGTGACTGAACCGGCAGTTCTCAGACACCCAGGCTGCCCATCAATACTTTGAAGGAATTTATGAAATGGATAAAATGAAAACAAAACTGAGTGGCCCCGCAGTCTTTTGTTAAAAACATGCTTTATTTAACAGGTTTCCTTTTTCTTTAAAATAACAATGAAAAATAAAATATTATAAACACCAGCAATGTAATCTTTAATTGTATTTACAAAAGCAGTAATACTGATTTTAGGCTGCACTTGATTCGGTACACACTGACAGCAGTAACTTCACTCAGGGCACTTTATGCTTGTTACATTGCAGTAATCCAGGCCTTTACAAGTGTTACAACAGAGCTACAACTCAACTTAAAAAAAGAAACAGGGCAATTAAAAAACCGATACTAAAAGTTGCGGTTTGTGTGCTGAAGTAGACTTAAAATAACCTAAATGTAAACACTGTAACAATGCATTTTATTTAGAGGTATTATCATCAATACCTAAGAGAGGTGTTCAAAGAGTTTTGCAACAAAGGTATGTAGAAACATACCGCTATTCATTGCAATGCATTTATCTGACGTATCCTTCAAACTAGCAAATCCTGACAAAGAGAAACCCCTCCTAACTACTGCATTAACCTCCTGCCAGTGGTGCTCCTCAAGGAGTCTTCATACTGGAAATCGTACACCAGGCAGGGCATACAGTAAGTCAGGATGCCAGGTGAAACAATAACCACTCAGGGCTACATCTGTGCTATAGCATGGATGGTTCAGCTTCAAGCCCACCCTGCTGAATGAATGGAGGCTTGTGAAACCCTGCACTTTCCACACACGACCAGCCATGCAGCAGAAGACTGGTCAAAAACCCATCAGTTTGTTTTGTTCACGGATGACAATGGACCTGTGATGGTTTTTAGTGGTGGGATATAATTCCTCAGCAGGGTCACTTTTAAATCTCAGCATACCATGGCCATCATTTTAATAAGCAAAATATCTCTGAGGGTTTAAACGCAGGGTGCTTGCAGTGCATTCATTCGGCCCTGGTGTCAGTTTGCCAGACGTGAACTCAGAAGTGAACCCTTTTGGTGTCTGGCTGCACTGTGTCATGCCGTGGTCAGTAACCAGACAAGGCCCACGCTCTGCTGGATCAGTGTAGAAGAGCTCCAGCACCTCTTTGCTGGATTCTGGCAACATGCGCTAGCCGTCTTGTGAGCTGAAGTTTTCGTGCACTCATCTGATGGAAATTTGTACCGCACCACAATGTCCAAAAAAAGCCTTCCGTGTTCCAAACAAAAGACCTGCCAAGCTTGTGTGCAATTCTGCAATGCTGGTTAGGCAAACCAATGTAATATTTTTCACAGCAGAGACATTGTCTGCTCTGTTAATGTGTAAGACTTGTCTGGACCCAGGGTTGTATTTAATCATTCACTTTTGATGTTTATATGCCTGTAAACATCCTTTAATATGGCAACCACGAGGTGGTGAATGAATCTGCATTTCACTGCCCCCTTACGTCAAAATGTGATTATTGTATGTAGACCAAGTTCTAAAAAAAAACATTATTCAACAACCTAGGGGAAAAAAATCAATCATTAACAGATGCCAATACAAACTTAATATTGAGTATGAGTTATAAACACAGATTTCAATAACGCATATCGACAGCATAAAAGTCCCAATCTGTGCACACAAGTAGCAAAACTTTTTGTACACCCCTCAAATTCTGACAGCTGAAATCCTTCAATTTAATTCCTCAAAAACAGCTAATGCAGCAATAAATAAGGTTAGTACCAATATCTTCTAGATGTCAGTAACTGATTCATCAGCTCACAAACAATGGACAACAAACGAGAAGTTCAAATTAATATGCACTTGGCTAAACTGGTATAAATTAAGCATAATTCCACCCCGTTTGTGTTTATACTGTTTTTATTTTCTTGCTGTCAATCTGATTGCGCTCCACTGAAATTAATAACTGTAGTGTAACGCGTCTGACTAGCTGTCTTCTGTTAATGCAATGACATCTAGTGGTGGAGACATTATGGGGCATCGGAGATCAAAGAATTTTATTGCCAAGATGAGCTGGAAAAGCTACAGACAGATCCTAGCCCACAGGAGAGTCAGCAGAAACACAAACCAGTCAGGGGAGTCAGGAAGAGGCAAACCCAGGACAATGTACAAGGGTCCAGTAAGGGCGAAAGGTCAAGGCTTGTTAGACTAACAAAATGGCACCACTTTCAAAGTGAGAAGGTTTCATCTGCACTGATAGCCATTATGACATCATAATTGCAATATGAGAAGGGATTGTCTTATCTGCTGCTGTACTGTGGTCAAACAAGCCCGCTATTATATGAAAGTTAATACCTTCAGATTACTATTTAAGAATTCTATCAAGATAATTACATAACGGTATACACTGATCTTGGATTACATAGATGGATCTATGTAAAATGATGAAGCTTTCAGCTGGAAAAACATGTTAAAATAATCAGTTATTCCTTATTTTAGAAACATAAAGTATATATTGTATGCAGGTTATGAGGCTGACAGAGAGATATTCTGGGTGTTAACTGCTAGACAGAACTGTGTTCCAGTTCCTCAGACACAAAATAAGCTTTCTCCAGATTTCAGATCTATTTTATTTGCTTGTAGATTGTGTATAAATCACCTTGAATGTGTTGAATACAAATATTCCTGAATGTTTTCTTGTAAGTCCCTTTCATTCACCAGTTTATTCCAATTCAAAGCAGGTTTCAATCTGAATAACACAACCAGTTGCCATCATCTTCTGCTGGTTTAAATTCAAAGCTAACAAAGCTCATCAGTACAACCCAATGATAAGCAGGCACTTTATAACCCAGATAGAATAGTAACTCCAGCAATGTAGGACCAGCATACAAATTCTCACGAGGAAATATAATTCAGCGCGGCCCCTATTTATGCAATTTTGGTGTTTTCCGGAAAAAAAAAACCCACAATGAAAAATGCAATATTATGGATCTGGGCTTTTTGCTGCTCGGTATTTATGTTCAGTGCAACTTTTGCTTCACAGCAGCTCACCATCCATCTATACAGGTGGGAGACGAAGACATTCTAAGAGAGCAACTGGGAATGAAACCAGGGGGTTGTTGCAGAGGGTTGACATTATTCTTCAAGATTTATATTGTGATTTATTTAAGTTGTTTTTTTTTATTATTGGACTGTTCAAGTAAAGATACTGGGGACATTTTTAACTTGATTGATACAGTACAAGAACATGTACGCAAGACGTGATTTAGATTTTAATGGAGAAAAAACTGTTCTGGGTTCTAGATATATTTCTGTGTTCAAGTAAGAACACGGGATAGTGTCCGTTGTTGTTGGCAAAAAGCTGATAATTTAAGCAGTTTAAGCACTTGATATAAAATGGGAGTTATTTTCCTTTACTGTTTATCAAGTCTTGATATTAGGTTTTAATAAACAGAGTAGGTTTTTTGCTGAATCTTGGCCTACTACTTATTTAAAAACCTGCTTTCAACATGTATTTTTCCCCAGACTTTTTTTCCTGCTGTCTGTTCTTTCATGTGTCGTGCACAAGTGGTGTTAGAGGACCACAGGTGGTGGCCACAGGTTAGGTCTAACATCACACTCCTTCACACTGCAACGGGACAAACTGTGAGTTTCAGTGGTCATACCGCTGAACGCGGGCGAGGTGCAGCTTAGTGTGTAAGGCTCTAGTCTCGTAATCGGGTGGCAGATTCAGGCTCCTGCTGGACACCCTGCTGTTGTACACTGGAGTGAGGTACTGTACCCCAGACACCCCTGTCCACCCCGCTGTATGAGTGGGGACCAGCATTGCTGGGGGTACTCCCTGCAGGGGTGATGGGTGGGGGAGGTCACATGCTCTCTTGTCCACGTAATGCCATGGAAACCAGGAGCCCATGTGGACCGGAGATGGAAACTACCCCATCAGGTGAAGAGGACAGAGCTCTGCAGGATGTGACGGACACGATGGAACACTACATGAAAGGCTGTTCAACCTGAAGAAGAGAGCGTGCTTTAAACTCTTTAAACCAGTATCCCTTTCTGCTTGGCTTAAGACAGATGACTTGAGTATTTGATTCATGAGAGCTTCGATTAAAAAAGCCCTGCTCTAACACATGCACTAGTTCAGTTACCAGGCCGTCTGGTACGCCAAACAACTACGGAAACAGAAGAGAACGCTGTTATATTTATGGATGGTACAACTGCGTTTCGGCTGACAGGTACTCGCACCTGTGCTCGCTCCGACCCGCCCGTTGAAGTGGCGATGACTCGAGGATACGGAAAGTCGAGAGACGTCAGATTCAATATGATCACGGCCTACGTTAATAAGCGGTGCTTCTCACCTGTTTCACGCTCAGCGGTTTTAATGCTGCTTCCCATTACTTCGTTAATCTAGAAAGAAAAGCACACAAAACAAAACAGCTCCCTGCAGCCCAAACAAAGCATTCCTCGTGGTTAACAACGTGTTAAATTCCCTTTATAGGACAAGGAACAGACGATAATGGGGGAAACACCAGCTTGTTAAAATTAGGGGAGACATGTTAGCCTGTTACGTTCATGTAGGTAGTAACTGAAGGCATGATAATCCACCAATCCACTCAAACACCCTACTGGATCATTTGAGAAACAGCGGCCCTTGGGTCTGTACCAGTGTAATGGTAATTCCTGCTGTTTCATCCTTCCAAAAGTACAGCATCGCCTTCCCTCGCTGGCTGACATTTAAAAAGGAAAAAAAATGAAGCATACTGAAGAGCCGACTCATTAATTTACACCACAAATGCTTTTCTTCTTCATATTTATATATGTATATATGCTTTTTATATATATATAGCTCTCTATATATCTATAGGTACAGTATTTTACAACTGTAATAACTGTGTCTGCTGGTGTTCACCTGATCTGAATGGCATGCTGTGCTGTCTGAACATCTCTCCGGTTAAGAAAAAAAGGGATCTGTAGTTCACATTGTTCCAAAGTATAAAAAAGACATGCAGAATCTACATCCTATATCATACAGCCATTGCGATATTTTGAAAGGTTTTTGTTTTTTCCTGTGTTGTCCCCCAACCCCACGTAAAGCAAAGAGCTATCTTCTGCACCCCCACCCCCCCAGCCTGCGCAGGCAGAGTCTGTGCGCCCGCCTCCCGTTGCCTCGTCCTGTGAAAGCAGCGCGCCGGGAGGCCGGGTCTCAGGGAGGGGGCGGCGGCCTGTTCGTGCGCCGGTCTCTGTCCTCGCCCCTACGGCGCACGCCCCCTCCTCGCCCCTCCCAGCACCGCGCACACGGTGTGACTTCAAGTGTTTTTTTTTTTTGTCTTCCGAAAAGAAAAAAAAAAAACAGAAAACCAACGACAAAAAATGAAACGACGAAAGCAACCCCCTCCCCGCCCCGGGCGCCCGCGATTATACAGTTTTGCGCTTGCCGCCGGTGACGATAGGCCGCGCGAATTCCACGAAGTCGTCGATAAGAACGGGCCACGCACCTGCAAGAGGAAAACCAGAATGAAAGGGGACTTTTCATTCCCTCTTTTGAGACGCAATGCACTGCCGTAAAGAAAGCGTCTCGATTTACCCACCAAATTTAGATCTTCTGTCACTACAAAAACGCCGGCTTGAGCAAAATTGTGTACTACAGATTAGAATGAGATCGGCTTTTCTTTTTTGTGTCGTTAACCACAATGTGGAGAAAGCAAACCTGCCTAGTTTTGTTTACAGAAACCATGGGTTTATACTTATCCAATCAAATTTACAAAAAACAAAACGTCAAAACACAGCAAAATAATCAGACTAGCTCAGAGACATTTACAGTACAACCTTAAAATAGTTACCTTCTTCATCATAGTTTGACATGTCATCTGCGATCATGTTTCCAAAGTCTAAAAGAAGATTCCACGTGTCTTTGGGGATTGATCTTTTGTGATGTTCCTACAAAACCAAAACAATAAATTTTAAAACAGCTGAATAACAAGATGGCTGCAACACATCAAGTGCTCCTTAAAAAGGGACACTATACGGTGATCTTTAGGTAGCTGCTGACGAAAACCTTCTCTTTGTCTCCATTAAAACAAGAACTCATAGACTCATAAAACTAAGTTGGAAGAGTGCTGATGGCCCTGTTTCATTCAAGGGAAGAACTCCCATCGTCAATGTGTTTATTTCTAGTATTAAATACTCTACACAGGTCTGCATGTCATTTCTGTAAGTCGTTTGGTCAGAATGAGAGTCCTTCACATATGTATCAAATGTAACTATACTGTACATACGCTTAAATGCATTAATCATATGTATTGGCAAAATCATCTCCACGTCTGTTCACATTTATAAGAAACAATTGCTCCACACTCCACAATCTTTGTCTTAGTCATCCTACAGTAGGTGGATTTTCAGCCTATAGAAAGAAGGGAATGTGTTGGAGGTGGGGGCTGAGTATAAGCATTCCTCTGCTACCCAGAAAAAGAAGGAAGTAGTCCTATAACTTATATTATGTAGCATGCTCACATAGGTTTCCTGCAGGTGCTCTGGTTTCCTTCCACAGTCCAAACGCATAGTTCTACAGTAGGTCAATTGGCTTCTGAGAAAATCGGTCCTGGTGTGTGTGCCTGTACAGTATTCGTATGCCCTGTCATGGACTAGTTTAATTTGCTTCAATGTGCTGAAAAGCATGAACAAAACTTATGAGATGCATCCTCAAAAGAAAACTTTCAGAATGGTGTCAGTAAGAGATTTGTGAATGAAGACAGTTCCTGTGTGAGCCCAAGACCTCACAGAGTCTGGACTGTTTGACCCTTATCTACATGGAGCATCAGAAGAAAATGTTATCACTCTACCCTAAAAATGCATATTTTTAGAAAAATCCAGTATACATTAAGATACTAAATGTTTTGGCTTCATTTCAAGTAACCGACCATTTATGAATGACTGTGATAAACCTCAGTGACTAGCTGACACATAAGAAGTAAATCACCTGTTGATGATTAATAGAAATTATTCTGTGCTGAATAGCATAGCATAGCCTGCTGAAATGAACAGAACGAAAAGGAACTGACAGAGTTCTCTTCTCTTATCAAGAGAAGAACGCCTTCGCGTTTCATCAGTATGCTAGAGGCTGGGCTAAGTCAGCACACTGTTGTGCGCTATTGGGGGTACCCACAGCTGCATAATTCTAACCAGGCAAGACGTTACAGTCAAACATAGTCCCACCAATGTCAGGCTAAGATCTGGGAGAACAGGGGTCACGGCATCTCAGCACCACGAATAGGGAGGTACAGAGCTCAGTCTAAAACCGATCACATCTGGGGAGCCCTGCCTGCAGGCTCATCCTGACCAAGTCCCAGCAGGACACTGGTGTTCTCAAACCCTTTCTCTAATAATGGCTTTCTTATAGAAAGTTGGCGACATCTGTGTCAGGCTTGAGCACTATTACAAATTTGGCTAGGCTGCCATGGTATTTACAGTAGGGCTCAGAGGCCTGTGAGAAGCACAGGATCCCACAACCATCCATGTGTGAAACATGCTGTATATTGGAGGCAGACACAACATTAGCTGTACAACAGGGGCCATAACCAAGCCTGTGGTTTCATGGTTGACCCTCTACTGATGAACTGTGTTAATGACAGACGCTAATTAGCATGATGAACTGACTGACATAGTCAATGCCATGCCTATTTTGTAACACATCAGTGTACCTGCTACAGAAAGATTTTGTGGTTTTCCTCATGATAACTTATTACTTAACTCGGAATTTACCACAGTTATGAATTGAGTTTCTTTTGATGCTCAGTATAATTATCACCATCATACAATCACTTTTACAAGCTTTAAGTAGATGTTTTCTTATTACATTACAAAAAAATGACATAATATTATACTTTTATAAAGCCTTTTTAAAGTAGTCCAGTACTGTTCATGTCTTTATAACTCGTAACAACTCCACACACAAGTACGAATGCCTGTGGGGTTTATCAAACACACAAAGGTGGCAAAAAAAGACCAATTCAGCACCATCACCACAGAGTTCCTTCCCCTCTTTGAGAACTCCAGGACAGTAATGTCAAGGCACACAGCAGCACCACAATTCCCCAAAAAGCAAACTTGTTAGCACCCCTCCCAAGAGCAACTTACCAATAAAAACCTGTTCCAGAGGTCGAGAAACTTAAACCTTCCTGTCAATACTAAATTCCAGTAGGCCACTGCCATTTCTAAATCTGAGACAAAAACAAGAAAAAGATATGAGTGCTCTCACGTATACACCGATAGAATTATGAAATTTACCTACTACAGAGTTCTGCTGCAAATTCTGATAAACACCGAGAAGTGTCGTGTGGTGTAGAACCCATTGTGCTTTCAAGGTAGCGTCTTACAAAAGTGAAAACTACCTGGTGTGCCTAGTATGATCTCAAAACAAGCCTGCAATCTGTGTGGTACAGACTGGAAAAGCCATGACACATGGGTGGGAGTGCTGTTCCACCAATCAGTCTGTACAGCTGCTGCTGGTGATATACCAGGCCAGTGCACTGCATTCATCTTTCTCACTAGTCTTGAGGAAGCCTGACAGCAGCGTTAGGAGGCTGAACCCAGAACGAATTCGAACACTGCTGTTGCAGGATGGAGCTGTCGATTTAAGGTGGTGTGGCGAGTCGCTGGCCTACATAAGCTAACGTCTAAATATGAAATACATAGCCCAGCACAGCATTGCCCCACAGTCACCCAAACAATGCTTCTTCCTCACACACAGCCCTTGGTGACCCCTCTGTGGTGTCTATTATATAAACAAGCTCTGCCACTGACAGAAAGAGAACATCTATGCACTTCATGCAGTCTGTGGACGGCTTCACGCTGATTGCTGAGCTGTGATGTTACCACAGTGGAAGCACCTGATGACTGTTTTCAGCTCTATGGGTCTTGCACACCTCCCAGTGGCTTTAGCAGTCCTAGCTGGGCTGCTGGAATCTACTGATGGCGGGAGAATGGACTCTGAAAGCCCCAGTGAGACTGAACGGCAGCATTTCGAATGTGCGTTGCCTGAACCGAGGCATGGCTACGAACCTGTGTGCCTTTGCTTGCTCGCACATCACTTTCGGATGTTAAAAGTGTCTTCTTAGATGAGTGCTGTCACATTTGTCCTCATGTCTTGCTACGTCGGTAATAAGGATTGCAAAAGAGGGACATGAACTTTCACAACCTCACATGACATCATATTTTCACAGGCTGGCGTCCTGCAATCCGCCATCCGTGGTGAAAGTAAACGTGTTTCTGAATATTGAACAAAACAGATTTTTGCAAGGCTACAGCTCAACCGCCACACTAATCATATTCCTCCATCCACCCTTTTGAAAGGTTTATTCCTAATTTTCGCACCTTTTTCTACTTCTGTGCCTCGCTCATGTCTTGATATTTATGGTCACTCTACACTCATGTGACGGGTTTTGGGTATTTTCACACATTTTTCTCCCGACAATGTTTTTTGCTGCTTCCACTGAACCCAGGTCTCAGAGATCTCCATCTCGTCTTCGTGAAGCTTTTTTCTTTCCAGAAAAGGGTCAGTTCCCTTAACTTCCCTGTGGGCCCTTACCTTACCTCGCAGGCCTGGACTCTAAAAGCTCCAACAATATCCTTTTGTGAACCGCCACCATCGAAAAGGAACACTATGTACTTCATGGGGCATCGAACTACAGTAAAACTTCAGCAGTGCTCTGAGCCAGCAACACTGCTTTAATAATCAAAAGGCCTGGTTACTGCAACAAATGTGTCCATTCAGAGATAAGAGGATTCTGTAGCTAATCCGCGCCAAGCAGTCCTTTGTGCAAAAGATTGTTTCTTTTCCTTCAGCAGCATTTTGGGGGACCATGGTGTTTACAGCAAAGTTAATATTGTGAAACAGAGCTACGGTACCAGCTCTGTGTGTGAGTAAGCAGTCCGTCTGTGGAAATACTTCACCACTGCCTGAGAAGTCAGAAACGTCAATTGGCCCTTTTAAGCTACAAAACAGAATTAGGACTAGTTTCATCGCAATTCAAGGTAAGATCTTCTGCCATCACCAACTATTTGCCCTAATGCATCACTTTCCAGAACTCTAGGCCTCACG